AGTCTTTATTTATCACCTGAACACATACATAATATCTTTTTGTTTTGGACCTGCTGAGGGATCAACAGGTCTGAAACACAAAGATATCGTGTATGTGTTCAGGTAATAAATAAAGACTGTTTTTCTGACTTTGTTTACTTAATTTGCAGAACCAGTTATCCAGTATAATAAGTCCTAATAAAATGCCAACTAAAACTTATCTATTAAGTTTAAAAATTAAAAAATTATGGACACAAAGGCATTTAAATTTAAGATGAGTAAATTGTCTATATAAATTTTTCTTATGGAATGAGAAATAACTGCTACAAAAAAAAGAAATCTTTTAATATTGTATGAATCAATGTATCTTTTAATATTGTATGAATTTAATGAATCAATGTAAAGTAATCACAATATTTTTTTAACTTAAATTTGCATAATTTTAGAATAAATGAAAAGTGTAATATGTGATCTCATATTTAGGATTATGAATCAATGTAAAGTAATGAAATCACAAAGTGGAAACTGCAGTATTATCAGTTATTTGCATTTATACATTTGTCAAATTGTGATAAATTTATAAAAGTATGATAGAAACAGTTAATGAGTAAGATTTCTACTTTTTATAGAGGATCTAATGCAAACATTATAGATGCTCTTCTTCCATTTGAAAGATAAACTTTATAATTAAACATACTGAACAGAAAGTTGATTTTTGGAACAGATTTATATCATCTGTAATATTTGGATATCAATAATTGTGTGCAAATAAAAGCACTTTAACTAACTATGTATCCTACTCAGCCTCTTTAGAATATTTAATGAAACATCAAACACCTGATGCTGAGAAACATTTATTAAACAAACATATTTTGTTTTATTTGATTATTTATTTTTAATTTAGCTAGTATTTTGTTTTAAATTTAAATGTAAAAGTATTCAAACGTTCTGTCGTTTAAATGTTAAGTTAAAATATGTTCAGATTTCAGTTGCATCTGAAGATGGCCTATCATATTGGGTCAAAAACATTAATGTTTGCTTAATAACCATTTCTCAGCATCAGGTGTTTGATGATTCATTAAGCATTTTTTAACATTAATATGTGTTTTTCTATTTAAGATTTTTTCAGAAATTGTAACTTCAGCAAATGATATTTTTATAATTTAATAATCTTTGGTTTGTCTTTATAAATGAAAATATACCAGTATTAGAAATGTTTTGCCTTCCTTTTGTTTTCCAAAGAAAAAAGAAATGTTTTGCCTTCCTTTTGTTTTCCAAACAAAAGGAAGGCAAAACATTTCTTTTTTCTTTGGAAAACAAAAGGAAGGCAAAACATTTCTAATACTGGTATATTTTCATTTATAAAGACAAACCAAAGATTATTAAATTATAAAAATATCATTTGCTGAAGTTACAATTTCTGAAAAAATCTTAAATAGAAAAACACATATTAATGTTAAAAAATGCTTAATGAATCATCAAACACCTGATGCTGAGAAATGGTTATTAAGCAAACATTAATGTTTTTGACCCAATATGATAGGCCATCTTCAGATGCAACTGAAATCTGAACATATTTTAACTTAACATTTAAACGACAGAACGTTTGAATACTTTTACATTTAAATTTAAAACAAAATACTAGCTAAATTAAAAATAAATAATCAAATAAAACAAAATATGTTTGTTTAATAAATGTTTCTCAGCATCAGGTGTTTGATGNCACCTATTCCTCTTTTTACATAATTTTTTTTTGTGTAAAAAAATCAAAGTTGGTTTGAAAATTTTTAAATTTAACCTTTTGTTAAAAAAGTTACTGTTTTCCTTGAAATTAAGAGTTCATTTATATTTTTTAAAGCACAGTACTGTACTGAAGGTATTAATATATCAGAGAATACTATTTGTTCATTTTCTGTTTCCTATGCAACCTTGTGTTTACTATATTTATGTAGAAATAATGTCAACGATAAATGATGTTAGAATAAAAAAAGCTTGTGTTTCTTTTGTAAATTGCTTGCTTTTACACACCATTGAAGTTGTGGCTCCTATCAAGCATTTTTCTACAGGATGCATGTGCTGTACTGTTTACACGCCATTCTTTGAAGTGTTTCCACCAGACAAAAAGAGGGAAGGATAGGTGTATATAATTTTAAAGAAAAGTTATAAAATAAATCTGAAATAGACAGTCCCAAACTTTTGAATTTAATGTGCTTCTGAAAATAAGGTATATATGAAAGCAAAATGTTTGAAAGTTGAGATGTAAAATTGCATGCTATGAAGAGCGAATTTTGCTTTCCAGTTAGCTAAGACATGTTATAAAAGTTTTTATTAAAGTAGAAAACTTTTAGTTTTTACAGCAAATACATTACATTGCATAAAATATTATTCAAAATGTTAAAAACCATACATTAACCATAAAAGATAACAAAAATGAATTTTTACAAATAATTTTGACATTGAAACTAAAACTGGTAAATAAAAGTGTTGTTACATTATACTCAAAATCTTTGTTTGCTGTATAAAATAATTTTTAAAGATTTTAAAGAATGTTTCTTGAGGAATATAGTTATTTAAATATCTAATATTTCTAGAACCTTTACATCAATTTTCAATTTGTTAGATAATTAAATAAAATTGACAAATAAAATAGCATGAGAAGATTGTTGACTGCAAACCAAATTTGGTGATGCTGTGAGCTGATTGTGCTTGAGCAAGTAGTGCACTACTTACTCATAGCTCCAAGTTTGACTTGAAACATTGCCAAATTCCTTAGGTTACTTGCAAGTTTTCCTTTCATTTGGCAATACTTCATAAAATAAATCTTTAAAGTAAGTTTGAAAATTTGAATGAGTTTAAAATTTTAAATTAAAATTAGTATTGGCTAAAAAATATTTTTCAATTTTTGATCTTTCAGAATTCTTTAGTTTTAATCTGATGCAATGTTTTTGTGATCTCATCAATGTCTGTCTACATAATCTTGTTAAAGGATTAGTTAAACATTATATAAATAAAGAAGCCAGATCTAAAGAAATTTATATATACAGGGTGTTTATAAATGAATAGTGCGGTTTTAAAAATTAATAATAAATCTATTTATTACCTTATATAGGCAAACCATACAGCATAAGCAGCGGTAACTGTCCAAGTTTTTTATGCATTAATCACAATCCTTCAATATGTGCAACCATGGTCACACGACACACGTCTACACGGTAATCAAATTCTTCCCATACGTGGTGTAGCATGTCCTCCATGATGGTCTGCAGTGCATCTTTATCCAATCACACAGTTCCCCAAGGGACATGGGCATTGACGGTACATAAACTTGGTCTTTAACAAACCCCATAAAAAGAAATTGCAGGGTGTTAAATCTGGCAAACAGGGTGGCCAGGGGAGCAAGTTGTTATCTGCTGTTGCACCACATCCAATCCAGCATTGGTGAAGAACACTATTAAGCATGACAAGCAAAGAGCAGGTAGCGCATAAAAAACTTGGACAGTTGCCACTCTTATGCTGTAAGGTTTGTCCATATAAAGTAATAAATAGATTTATTATTAATTTTTTAAACTGCACCATTCATTTATAAACATCCTGTATTATTAGAGATTGATAGAGTTTTGTTGTTGTTTACGAGAAGTTTAAAAGTGTATTTAACTTAATTTCTTATGAAGTTAAACTGGATGTAACTGATCCAAATATTTCCTGTATGAAATAAATATATTCTTTGAGAAACATGTTATACTTAAATAACATAGCAAAAGTATTTTATATTTGTTATATTTAAAGAAAAGAGTGACTATTTAAAATTTAAATGTTATTCAATTAGAAATGAAAACTCAAGATGAATGTTTAAAATAAATTTTTAAAACAAGGTTAATTTCTTTTTTAAAACATATTCAATATTTTTTGTGTGTTAGATTGTGAAGATATGTAACTAATTATAGACCCAACACATGTTTATTTACAAAAATAAAATTGATACACACAATTTTTAATTCGTAAACATTAAAAAAGTGCATTGTGAAATTCAGTTTTTTATGTTCATAATAACAATAAATTTTGCAAACATTAGTAAATATATTAATTAAAATTCTTAAATTCAAAATAAACACTAAAATTAGATGTTAATATATAACTACTAAATTACAATAGAGCGTCGTTTATCCGAATCAATTGGGGACTGGGGTTGTTCGGATAACTTATTTTTCGGATAACCAATTATGTACAAAAAAATATTTTAATTTATCCCGTGTTGAAATTTTTCTCCGTTGCATGTCGCTTCACGTTGAATTTTCGTCTATGTTAAGCCTAACGAAGACTATTGTATCGTTAAAAATTATTTTTTTATTTTATACGAACAAAATAAATATATTGAAAAATATAAAAACAATAAAAAATTATACTTCAGAAGTTAATTTAGTATCAAAAACGTAAAATATTTGAGTAGCCGAAGACATAGCCAAAGATTACAGCGCCACAGCACTGGTGAAAATTTAAATTTGTCGACTGGAATTCCTTCGGATAACCGACCTTCGGATAAACGACGCTCTACTGTATTATAATTTTTATAATTGTATCATCTCTAGAGGGATTTTTATCACCTTATTTGCATATTGAGGCTGATGAGAATCTCAGAATAAAGCAAAACAGCAGGTGTTCTTAAAGTACATTTTGCAATCCTGAGATGTAAAAAGAGATGAGTCGTGAACCCATTTTCACTGTAATTTTTGGTGTTTCTATTAAACTTATGAATTTTAACTAGTAAATACACTTTTCTCATTTTAATATGAAAAGATTAAATCAAGTTTACTAGTAGAGTTTACAATTACACTGTACAATTATAATAATTTGTCCCAAAATTTTAACTTGAAAAACATAAGATCAACCTGTTTTTAATTTCAAATTCTATATGTTGTACATGCTTTTATGAATTTTAGTGTAGTTTTTATGAAGAACATAACAAAAAAATAATTTTGCAAATGTATTTTTCCATTAAAAAAATTTTTTCTTTTTGTTTAAAGGAGAAAGAAAATAGAACTGCCACTTCATAATTCAGATCTGAATATTTTAATTTATGAAAAGTCAATAATTTGAAAACTTAATGTAACAAATTTATAATTTTTCTTCATGATCAAAAAAGAGAACCAACTTTAATAAATTATTAATTAAATTACTCTATAGTTAATTTATTCATAATCTTATTCTATTATATTAATAATTTAAATATATATATTTAATTATTCATGTGAAAATGAATGTATAAACATGAGAAGTTGTGAGAACTACTTTTAATATATAAATATTTTCTAATTTTAATTACTATGGACAAATTGGATAAATTAGCATTTTTAATTTTTAATGTATGATTGATTTAATTACAAAAATCCTATTACTATTATTTTTATTATTAATTTATAATTAAAAAATTGATTGTTATGTCAGTATTATAGAATCATCTGTTTGTTTATTTAATATTGAATTTTAATCAATAAAATGTTATGAAAATTTTATTTATAATTTATTACTCTATGTTAAAATAATCTGAATGCTAATTATCTAATGTAACAAACATTTTTAGTGTAATGATAAATATAAACTATACATGTTTTAAATATAAATAAATTTATTGAAAATTTAACTTGTTTTATTTTTTTCTGAAAAATATCATATTTCAGGCACCAAACAAGCTAATTTTTTTGCAATTTAATACAGTTGACTCTCAATAACTCAAAATAGAAGGAATAAAGAAGAATTTTGAGTTAATGAAATTTTAAGTTATGGAAATTAGCACTACGTTAATGAGATATAAACAATACATTTTGACTTGCTTAAAAGATAATAAAATATTAATAAAAGAAGTCTGTTAAGTGAGTTTGATGTTGATCTGTTGCTTTCTGCTTGTCAGCATCTTTTATACAGCTTAAAAACATCTTATCTCATGTGTTACAGTGATACAGCCAGGAATGTGCACTAATATTTGGTCCAGCAAGAGGAATTCACAGTCTTGCTGGACCAGATATTAGTATCCATCTTTTAACAGTTGAAACTCATTTATATGTAAGTGTAAAAGTCACTCATTCATATAGATATTAAATTCATATCTATATGAGTGAGTGACTTTTAATCAGAACTGATAGTTTTCATATTTTTAGCAACATAAGAATTTTTTCTTTTCTCAACCATAAGAGACTTTTTCTATATCTACATTCATTTGTTAAGACCATTAGATAGTGACTGTGGTTTACAGATAGCATTACATAACTGACTCTTGCTGCTCTCTTGGAAGACAAGACTATCTTTGTCAACACTTAACAGTCTTAAAACAACTCTAAGACTAATGGCTCAAACTACCCATGTAGTCACTGGCTCTTGTGGTGACCGGTGCTGATGAGGAATGTAGAACTAATAAACCTTAAACAAGAATGATACTACACCAGAGTAAAGTAAACAAAAATATACCAGGGAGCCTGTTATTGGTGTGCTTCTTGGAAACAACAGAGTGTTATGAACGTTTTTGAACTTGTAAGTTCTTCTTCAGGTAACTAATGATTGTTAAACGAATGCAATTCAAATTAAAGTCAAATTGGAACACCATTCAGAATTCTATCATGTGGATATCGATATCGTCATTCAGGCATGTGCCCCTTTAACGGCTGTAGATTATTGTAAGTTCTTGTCTACAAGCGCCTGCCATGCAGTTGACAGGGTGATTTTATCTTTATGATTAATGCAGTTATCATCTTTAAGTGTAGCCATACAGATGTAAAGAGCCTCTAGCCATCTAAGATGGTGTACGTATTGTGTAGTGTGGATCACTTTGGCTTATTTGAACAATGGTTCTACTTCTGGATCTGGGCATAGATAACAAGAGCAGTGGTGGGCCTTGCATGTAGAATATCCACTGTGTGTTCTTTAATTCTCACTTCCAGCGAGTGCTTGGTGGATCCTACATAGACCAGGCTTCTGTCCCATCTATGGTTCATAATTGGGATGGTGTACACCCCCAGGAGTCGTTCTTTGTTGGGGGTGTCTTTTCCATTCTGTAAAATATCAAAAATTGTAGCACACCTTATATAGGCGATACGAATATTCTTTTTCTTAGCTATCACATTGTATAATGATTTAAGGTACTGATTGTGTGTTACCAGGATGATGGTAGGTGGAACTTCGTTGGCTGCCTGGTTGGGGTCTAGTTGTCGGCAGTGCCATCTGCAGATCAATTTACTTGTGATCACAGGGTAACCATAGTCCTTGGCTATATGTTCAATATGCCTTAGTTTGGCTTGGAGAGTTATCTGAGAAGACAAGTGTGTGTATGCCCTCTTAATTAAGACATTGAAGGCTGCCATTTTATAGTGGTGATGGTCACATGATCCTACCGGTATATAGAGATGTTCTGCCCCCGGTTTACGGTAAACTTCCGTGTAGGTTGCTGTTTGCTCGAACTTGATGCTAATGTCTTGGAAATGGACCTCAGAAGTGTGAGCTTGGTCTATCTCTATGGCCAAGCCATAAGGGTTATCATTGAATGAATCGACGAACGCTGATATGTCTGGCTTTTACCTCCATAAGATGAGAATATCATCTATGTATCTTTTATATAGTACAGGTAGGCCTCCTACAACGTGGTAGATACATTCCTTGAAAATACCGTGTTGTGGGAAATCGCGTTGTAGGAGACACCAACTCAATACAAAAACTGGGATTCAGTTCTAAAAAGAGAAAAACTTAACGTTTGAATGGCGTTTTTTGAATTTTTCAAACCAGCCATTGGTAGCCACGAATTTAACACTGGTTTCATCAGCTGACCAGTGGCGTAGTGTAGTGGGAGCAGCAGGGGCAGCCCACCCCGGGCGGCACTTTTAGGGGGCGGCAAAATTTCACAATAAATAATAATAATATCTTGTAAAAATTTGAACCATTTCATTTCATATTTTTGTCGCACCTACGATTCGGACCGATTGAAATGAGCACGGAATTGTTCATTACTTATTCTGTGACGAAATTGAATTTTAGTTTTTTAAATTGAGATACCTAAATAGGGGGCAGCGAAATTTTCCTCTGCCCCACTATGCTACACCCACACTATGCTACTGCAGCTGACGACTGTCCCATTTGTTATAAATAATCAAATATTTTTAAGGCTTTGTGTTTAAGTGCAGTTTTATTTAAAGGCAACCATTTCTTGTTCATATCTTCTACCCATAATATTAGCACTTGTTCTATTTTTTACATTATAGGTGCTCTCGGACTAGCAACATTTTTCGCAAGAATAGATGATCCAGATGCAACCAAATTTCTAATTTTTTCTCCTGATTGCTTAATCGGCCGAATAGTCAACTCATCTAAATCAAAATGCCTACTATCAGCTATCCGCTCTTGATTTTTAATTTGATCCAAAATTTCTATCTTTGAAGAGTTATAAATTTCTTTTTTAACGACAATCCTTTTTTTTCATTTGGCATTGTTATGGCTAAAATTTTTTCAATCAGTTTTGTGGACAGTAAAAATCGCAAAAAATAACTTTTCTCACTATGTTGTTAAAAATATACACCCAATAGAAGTTTATACTGTATTTTGGACCATTTCTGCAGTTCCCACTTATTGAAACAGTATAAATGATTGAAAATTTAGTGATATATTTCAGTGTTTACGGAAACTGATGCACATCTGTCTAGAAACTGGTCTTCCCCTGAAACTTTCAAGGGAACAACACGCCAACGTCAACAAACAGCTTTTTCAAGGACATTTAGCTCTGTATGCCAAACTGCAGTTCGTATCACATGATCCGTTGCAATTTTTCTGTTGTGTGAAAGATAATTCATTTCTAAATACCATAAACCGCGATGTAAGAAAATTTCTGCATTTTTCCAACTGCATTGGAGTGAAAACGTGTTGTAAAGGTACCTCATTGTAGGAGGCCTACCTGTACGATGTTAGGTAAATGCTGAGGGATGATTCTAGATTCTAATTGTCTGACCACTATCTCACAGAGGTCTCCTGCGATGGGGCTACCCATCGGGACTCCTCTTCCTTGGCTGTATGTAACCCCATTGAATTGGAAAAAGGAGTTATAACACAATAGATGTGCCAATTCTAGTATCTGTTGGTGCATAGTGCTATTGTTTACGAAGTTGAAAAGTGCATCTCTGATGGCGCAAAATACTGGTGGGAGTTTAATAGACGGGCAAAGTGACTTGAAGTCTAAAATCATTATGAAGATAAAAGGCGCTGATATTTCCTTGAGGTCTGCTGGGTGGGTCAGAGCATATGTCTATCCTTCTAAGTGGGGCAAAAGTAGCATATGTATGAGCTTCTCCAATTTAATGGTTGGTGCTCTAGCTTTATCAATAACTGGTCGTAGCTGTTGTCTAGGTTTGTGGATTTTTGCGAAGGCAAAGATCCTAGGGGTATCTGGAGAATCGATCATTATATTCCTTAACTCCAGGTGTTTAGCTAGCTTTGTATTGGAAAAGTGTTTAACTCTCGCCTGCAAGCTGTCAATAGCATTATTGCTTGCAATGGTACATTGTGTGCTGGCTATATGCTCCTCGAAAATGTTTGTAACACTGTTTTTTTCCAAGAAGCACACTGGTAACAGACTCCCCAGTAAGTTTGTTGTTTACTAATAAACCTTGCACACAACATGAATTAAACAGTGCAAGTTAGCAAGTATGTAGACAGGGCTAGCCATAGGCACTAACAAAGTAAGTATAAGCTTTGAGTGGCACATTTTGAGGTAGTAGCATTTCTCAAATTAATTTTAAAAAAAGTAAAAATAAAATTTGACATGGGGACAGCATCTGTCAGGTGCTGGAGAATCTGTGGAAGTAAACAAACCTATAGATCATTGGTTTATTTACTTAAGATGACATCTTCACACAATCTCACCCAGCAGCATGCAGTGACAGTTTTCAAAGGGGACCAGACATGAGAAAACCCATGTTTTGTATATTATAACTATTATTTAAACACCTCAAACACTGAAAAAACAAAGCTTTCATTTTGTCACATTATGTTTAATTTTTCATTTTATTTTGTTGGAGAAAACACAGTAAGTTTCCACAATAGTAAAATATTGTACATTAATGGAATCTTCCTAACTTCTTTAAGAGAGAACTTCTATAACAAGATCATAAAAATTTCTTTGTCTTTGTGTAAAGTACTAAGTTATTTTTACGCCTTTCACAATGATTAGCGACACAACTTTGTGCCGGAAATATCCGTTACCTAACTGGAACTTTACACGGATTTGCATTAATGTGCCAGGCCTGGACTTTAAGCGTGCACCGAATTATATAATGACAAAGTTAGTCAAAATCAAATTCAATATTTAATAATTCTAATAACGATTATGTACAAAAATTTAGTAACAATCAAC